CCTCCGACGCCGCGTCACAGTTCCTCATGACCGCCATCCAAGACCTAACGGTGGAGGTAAAAGGATTAAAATTCGCCCTAGATGCTAATGTCAACGAGGTATAGGAGTTAAAGATAACGCTGGAGAAGCAGACCGCTACAACATTCGAAAACGCGGAAAAATTAAATGTAATAGAGACCCTTCTGGAGATTCAAAATTCGAAGTTGGAAAGACCAAAGATGAAAAATGCGACACTCAGGTCCCGGGCATCGGAGCTTGAAACTAGACTCAACAGGACTGAGCAAATGCACCTATCCAGGTCGATTGAAATGAGAGGCGTCCCGGTGAGCTCTGGGGAGACACCCATGGACCTGATGATGGCCGTGGGGACTGGCTTGGGCCTAGACGTAAAGCCAGAAGATATCGACTGCGCGGAGCGGATGTGATCGAGGCAGGATGATACACCCGGGCTGCTTCTGTTGAGATTTGTCAGACAGTCGCTCAGAGACGATTTGGTCCAAAGGCTCAAGGTTGTACGGGACTTCTCAACTCGCCACCTGGGATGGCAAAAGAATGATGCTCACAAAATATACGTTAGCACGGCAATGTCCGTAACCAACCGACACCTATATTGGTTAGCTCGACAGAAGAGGTCTGCAGGGAAGGCCAGATACGTTTGGTTCAATGCGGGCAAAGTGAAATGCCGAAGAGATGACGGCCAGCAGGTTGTTGTGATTAACTCGCCATCAGACCTGGACATATTCACTTGACAAGCACTTGCATGTTTCATTACGCTGCATATTTTATTTTTCATTACTGTATTCGCCGTTTTTTATTTTTATTTTCCAGATTACGATTTTGCTGCTTTTAATTCAATATATTTTGATAACAATTTTATTTATGTTAATAAGAACAGTGTAAATTTTATTCTTTTAGACATTTTAATTCACGTAAATATTTTTTTTTTTCGCTTTAGAGGTGAACCTTTCGTTTAATAAATTGTATTTTATCTACTTCTCAACTAGAAAAACAGTATTCATTATTTCTTGTTTAGCTCCATTTATTATTATAGGTATGGTTCTTCTTAATAGAGGTGTCCCCAACAATTATGTTCTCTGGGTTCATACTAGCTCCAACCACCATAGAAATATTCCTGCCCCAAGCACTTCCAGTCCGTTAACCAAGCCAACCCTCCTTCTCCCATGACTAACATCCTTTTAACCTGCCACGTCAACGCTCAGCCACTCCTAGCTCATTTTGATGAATTTTATGATTATTTCCTCTACAACTTCTACCATCTAACCGCAGTTTCTGAAACCTGGTTAAAGCCCTCTATTCCGTCTTCCCAAATTACTTTACCCAACTATACCCTCCTTCGTCATGACAGAGTGGATCGTACAGGTGTTGGTGTATGTATCTTTGTTCATGACAGCCTTAAATTCAAAATCCTTCATTGCTCTTCCCACACCGATTCTCCACACCTAGAATTACTTTTTACTGAAATCCTAACCCCATCATCTCCCCTTCTCTTTGCAGACATTTACCGCCCTCCCAAAATTCCCTTTGATGATTTATTTGAGACCTCCTTTTACAACTTGATCTCTTCCTACTCCAATATTATCCTCACTGGAGACTTCAATACCAATTTGATGATACTATCCTCCGACCAATCCTACCTGACCAGCCACTTCCAATCCCTCAGCCTTTATATAGTACCTTACAACCCTACCCATCATTGCCAATTCTCAGAGTCCTGGTTTATCTTGGATTCCCTGGATAAGCTCTTCGCAGCGTCTCAGCACCCGGTTCCCTTTCTGTCTTCTCATGATCTTATCCAGATTTCCTATAACATTCCGGTCCCATTTTTTTCTCCTCGAACCATATCCTTTCGAAACCTCAACTCCCTCACCTATGAAGCCCTGTCGCAGGATCTCGACGCTATCCAGTGGGATCCCATTTATTCCTTAAAATCCATAGACGACATGGTGGAAATCCTTAGTAACCATCTTCATGCCATATTCGACTGCCATGCTCCTCTCCTAACTAAAACTATCCGACATCCCCCTGATCCTTGACACCACTCAAGTAGAGATGTTGCAAGACGGCGATTTCCTACAATACAAACGTAACCAACTCCCGAAAGACTGCATCGCCTTCAAGCAACTTAAAATAGCACCCAGTCTGCTATACGCCGAACCAAATCCCGTTATTTCCATCATTCCTTATCCAACACCCCAAACTCCATGGCCAAATGGGCTATCCTGAAAAAAACTGACCATTTGTAAGACACCTCAAACCCAGCTCATTTCCTTTTCTGCCGATGAACTTAACATTCACTTTGTCTCCAGTTCCTACTCTTCCTCATATCCTGCTACCATACCTGCTCCTTTGTGTTTCCCTTCTAATTTTAATCCTGATCACTTCTTTTTTTCCCATATTACACCTGATGACCTCCTCAACTCCATTCAGAAATCGCAAACCAATGAATATGGGCCTGATAACATCCCAGTCAGACTGATCAAAGCCTCACTGCCATCCACCCTTCCAATCCTCTACCATATCTACAATTACTCACTACAAAACGCTACCTTTCCTACTTCCTGGAAAACCGCACTAGTCGCCCTATGAAGAAGACTTCCAATCCATCAACTCTTAATGATTTCCGTTAAATTTCTCTCCTCTCAAACCTTTAGAGCGACTGGTTCAAACCCAGATATCCAACTTTTTAGAACAGAATAATCTCCTAAATCCCAACCAGTCCGGCATCCGACCCGGCTACTCCACTCAATCTGCCCTCATCAAAATTTCCCAAAACATTCATACAGCCATGGACTAGCAGAAACTCACCATCCTAATTCTCCTTGACTTCTCCAAAGCCTTCGACTCAGTAGACCACAAAATACTCCTAACCAAGCTTAAAAATATCTCCTTTTCAACTAGTACTCTTAATTGGTTCCAATTCTTCCTTACCGGCCGCTCCCAATATGTTGTAGTCCCCAATAACCTCCCATCAGAATCTTTACCTTTGTCCAGAGGTGTCCAACAAGGCTCCTCCTTATCTCCCACCCTTTTTCCATCTACATCAATGACCTTCCATCCTATATCCTACACTGTCAAACTTCCTATTCAACAAAAAACGTGACACATAGAAAATTACAAAACTTTAATTCCCTACTTTCCTGCTAAAAATCGAACCATTGTTTATATAAACTTTTTCGTATTTATTGAGTTTTGCTTGCACTCCTTTAAATATTTCCCTCTACTTATGAGACACCATGTATATGGGTTTCGGCATGTAAAAAAATTAATTGCTAACACGGGTCACCAAGAAAAAACTTTTTTCTGCCAAAAAATCCAGATTTATATGATCTTTTTTTTTTTCATTTGTTGCTACTAAACAGTGCATCAAAGCGAAAAACGTATTCTTTAAGAAATTAAAAAACCTCAAATTGTGCGTTGAACGAGTACCTAAAATTAATAATTTGATTGAGTGATATGGTCGATAACTACGGCCAATGAACGCTAATTTTTCATTTAACGTAATTTCGCTAGTGCTGGTCACGATAATAATTTTTTTTTATTAGAAAATTCGTGTATGAGGATGAATTTTCCCTATATTTCTCTTTTCATTAAATGGGTGTTTTTTTCGGATTTTTTTCCACCATCCAAGGAAGGGCGCGCCCCCTGGCAGAATTCGCTAGTGCTGGTCACGATAGTATTTTTTTTTTTATATTACATTAGGAAATTCGTGTATGAGGATAAATTTATCCTACATTTCTCTTTTCTTTAAAAAGGTGTTTTTTGTCACTTTTTTCTATATTTTTTTCACCATCCAAGGAAGGGCGCGCCCCCTGGCAGAATTCGCTAGTGCTGGTCACGATAGTAACTTTTTTTATATTACATTTGGAAATTCGCGTAAGGAGATGAATTTTCTCTACATTTCTCTTTTCTTTATATAGCTGCTTTTTGTCAATTTTTTCGGATTTTTTTCCCCCACTCTCCAAGGGAGGGTGCCTGCCCCCTGGCAGAATTCCCTAGTGGTGGTCACGATAATAATTTTTTATATATTATATTGGGAAATTCATCGTCTATGACGATGAATTTTCCCTCTATTTCTCTTTTCTCTAAATAGCTGTTTTTAGAACTTTTTTTTTAAAAAATTGTCCAGCCTCCAGGGGAAGGGGGCGCGCGCCCTCCGGCTGGATCCGCTAGTGTCTCCTTGCCGTAAGCCCGTTCGAACTTTGAAGGCTTCAGAAACTTCTCCTTGTATTAGGACTCTATATTGGGTTATTTAGTATGGAGATTGGCCTTTGTCAATCTCACCATTTTACCGGGAATTCCCAGTTCAGTCATGATTTTCCAAAGACAGTTCCTGTCCACAGAATCATAGGCAGCTTTGAAATCGACAAAGTTGGCTTGGACTTTATTAAACTTATTCTTGAAAAATTAACTTTAAAACTTTTTTTTTAAGTATATGAATTGAACTCATAAGAAAAGATCTGATATAAAAAACAAAACAATAACATTGAGCATGCAACAGTACAATTTTTCAAAGAGCAAGTGCATGAGGATGTACAAGGTTTTAAGTTGCGTTTAGACATTCCGCAAACTATGTGGATCACATAGTAATCCAAACTTTTTTTTTATTTCTCTTGTTGCCGACAGCAAATGGAAAACATCAAAAACAGCAAACGTAAACATTAGCATAGGGAAACAACTATTTAAATATTCATAATGACGTTGAGCATGTTGGCCGTGATATAATATGAGAAGGAGTTGAGCGCACCTCCCCGATCAACTCCTTCTCATATTTAAATATTCGTTTTTTCATACCTTGCAAAATGTTTAAACACATCTTACTTAAGATACGAGGATTCGTTACTGACGAGCAGCTACACAAGTCACACAGTTATAAGTTTAATCTACAAGTTCTTTTAATTGTTATCGATTATAGTGTACACAATGAACATCGCAAGTGAACGATGAGAACGAAATAGTAGCCTCTTTTAAAGGTTCTCATTTAAATTTTGAGTTTCCCCTTTGTTTGATTGTTGTAATGTTCGTTGCTGTATTGTTAAATTTAATTGATAATGGATAGAAATAGTAAGCCACCAGTGAGTAAATATTTAGATACATTTTTTCTTGATGGTGCTCAAAAATCAGAGGATAGATGGAGTGGAAATTATAAAGGAAGTGGAGTATCTCCCAAAACCGATGATACTTCCAAATATGCTCAGAATAATGCTGTACATGGTGAGGTGCAGGAAATGTTTTGTAATGACGTTTTAGATGACATTTGGGGATCTGATTTTCCTGAAGATTTTTCTGAAGATTGCATTATTTTGGAACCAAAATCTGAAGTAAGTCTATAGTAAAAGTTGTTATTATCGTATGTCTTTATTTATTTAACTTCTTTCACTATTGTTATTTAGTATGGAGTAGCCTCAATTTAGTCAGAAGGTTTAAGTTTAATTTATGTGTAATGACTATTAGAGGTTAGAGGACCTATTTTTGTAGGAATACTATGTCTCTATGGGAAGGGAGAAAGTATTTCAGTTTAGGAATTTGTTGGGGTTACTTTGTAGGTAAGCTTACTGGTAGTTCTTTTCTCTACCTCTGCCATTTCATGGTGGGGTGGTGGTGTAAAGGTTCCTTTTTTCGTTTATTTACTTATTTTCCAGAAACGGTATATCATTACATGTATATAAAATTAAAACTGATTAAATTTCCTTCCAGAATATTCGTATTCACGTTTTTATATCAGTTATAGTTCTACAGATATTTACTATCATAAATAATATACATATTGTAGTATGCTTACTTGTACAGAATAAACCTTAACACAACTCAAGGCATTATTTATCATACAATTTAAAATGAAAGATAATAGTTTGATTGAAACACTGCATTAAGAACAACAAATCATCTGGTTGATTATTAAAAAGGTTATAAAGGAAATAGTTCACTTAGTTATTAGGAAATAAAAAGGAATAGTCACTACATTCATCCCCCTCTCCCTTTGTCATTTAAGGACATAGTCTTTCAAGATTCGAGGAGGCCGAACAGTCCGAGATGATCTCAGATTGGGTTTTGGGTTTAAATCTTGATTGGGGTCTTCATCAGGAGCATCTTCTAAAATTAGCTCTTCTGAAACATTATCAGTATTTGTAGGCTTTGAAATAAAATCAATAGTATCCTTCGAAGAATTAGTAATATCAGTTGTAGAATGATGGCTGATACCTTCATGGATTGTACATTTTTCTCAAAAGTTTCCACCATTTGAACTGTCGATTCTTTCTTTTGTTGGAGGAAGATGTCTCAAGTTAACTGTAGTCTCTTTGCCATCAGGGAGTTTAATGAGAGCATAGTCTGGGTTTGCTTTTAAGTAAAGTAACCTCTTGTACGAGTAGGTCATATTTTCTTTGTTGACCTTGATTTTTCTAAAGCACTTTGCCCGACTCTTAGCCAAGATGGGATTGACACTTCTGAAGATGATCTTCTGTTGTGAAAGAAGATACGTTCATGCGGTGTAACATTGGTTGAGGTACAGAGTAATGAATGTTTCGACTGTAGTTCCTCAGGTAAAACTTTTTCCCATTTTGGTTTCATGAGACCTTTTGACTTTAATAATGTTTTTCCAAATTATACCATTGTACCTTTCAACTTGTCCGTTTCCACAAGGGTTATATGGAGTGATGTGACTAGTTGCTATTCTTTGAGAATGAAGGAAGGCCTGGAGTTCTTTTGAAATGAAAGATGTACCTCTATCTGAATGAATGTAAGGTGGGTAACCAAAGAGAGTAAAAAAACTGATTTAAAGCATTGATGATAGGTCAGTGCAAGGGATAGTGAAAGAGTATCTTGAATACTCATCAATAATGGTCAGAAGGTACTTTAGGGAAGTATCAAAGGGTGAAGGTCCTTTAAAATCAATGATAATGGTGATATACATAGGTGTCCCTTGTATTTCACTATTCCCTTATTGTCCCTTAAAGGCTGAGGACAGAGTACACACCTTTTATTTCCCTTCTACTATAGCGGACATTTAGGAGAGATAGAGGGCCCGTCATTATTCCCAAAAGTCCCCTTTATTCTCACTACAAATTATATTTAACTAATGAAAATTTAATTATCGTGTTATTATACTTCTACCTAAATAAAATCTAGTGAAATGAAACTTCTTGGTTCAAACTATTTTCTGAATATTTAAGAGGTAGGTTAAAAGCAAAAAAAAATAATTTAGAACGTTCTTTTTTCCATTCCACTTTATAGAATTAGTTTGATGTTAGCCAAATAATGAAACATAACAAAAAATAAAAATTTAAGGAAGTTTGACATTAGCTGCTTCTTCTTTTCTTAAACATTAGCGTAAACATGTGTTAAAATATCGATTAAACATCGAGTAAGTAAAGAAGGTAACTGGACTGTTCAAATACATAATAAAGATATTATTATTGTAATTTTTTTTATATTATTCTTATTATAGATGAGTGATATAAAGATCTAACGGTTTTCTCGAAAGGAGTTACAGTTCCTCACATCCCTACTTCTCAAAAAAGTATAAATTATTCAAAATAAAGACACGAATAATGCAAAAAAAAAAAAAAAAAAAAAATTAAAAGAGAAACAAGTACCTGAAAGCTGCTGGTTGCAAATAAGTACAAACTTGCGCATATCCAAATTGTTGTGCTTACAGGCAGACCCCTAATCGATTTATCAACATCCATTTTGAGTAATGGGATCAACACATTTATAAAGGTATTTTTTGAAAAGCAACACCTTTTTCTTGTGAATTTAGTATCACAATATTTTTCTAATGAGTTTTCTATATCTCTTGAGTATTTTTTTTGGTATATTTTCCAGATCTCCTTCTCCAAATAATACATGAATTCAATTAAATCTTCATACAAAAAGAAAAAAACAAACTATTATTTTATTAATTTGTATTATATAATTAATTATATATAATTTAATCTCTTCTATTAATTGTAATAGATAGCAATCCCATCCTCTTTGTTCATGTTTTATATTAAGACATTATACATAATTTTTTTTTAAAAATATTACATCTATTTTTTAATTGTTAAATATGAATTCAATTATATTAATCATGTTAACTTGTTATTCATTCATGTTTTGAAATTGACTACATTTTTAATATATGCTCGTTTTATCTCGCTCGAATTGCGAAAGATCAAATTCTTACCTTCGATGAGCCCACATCTACAACTGCTCGAATTGAAACAACTTTCAATTCTCGACCTCTATACCCAATGTCTATCTCTGCTGAGGACATAATGCATTGGCTCTTGATAATTTTCTCATCGGAGACCTTTGTTGGTATTGCCAAACCATTTAGACGTTTGTTAGAAATGGAGGCACGACTTGCTTAAATTGCCCTAACATAACATCCGGTACCCCAGTTTTATTGAAGGATCCGAATATCCCATTATCAAGAAGGCCTAAAGGTCATGTCACTTATGTATTCCTGAAAACGATAGGATAATTAGGACCTCAACAGAAGAATACATATGATCAGTTTCTAAATTAGCTCTATTGCTCCCGCCTAAAGAACAGCCTTAATTTTGATAATTTACTGCTATAAATTTTAGTGGGCAGTTTGTCTAATTAAAACTTAAACAAACATTCACTTCAATCAAAATTTGTTTCATAATTGTTGGGCATCGCTTTGGGATGTGAGAAGGAATAGGTAAAGAAGGTATTCGAATGAGGACAAGAAAGAGGCATAGCAGATACCATATGGCAGGAAATTCCACAAGGCAATAAAGCGAGGAAGAAAGAAACTTTCGAATATTTTAATTCTGTGGGAAGGGGTATAAAGGTCAGAAAAACAGAATCTTTTTTTCTGGGAATGGCCCTGGTACCGAAGACAAGTCTTATAAGCAGTTTATGAGTCACTTCAATCGGGAAGCCACCTTACACCTCACAGCTGTTGAAGATGAGGACGATATGGGTTTTCCACGAAATTACAATGGTGATTCTTAGGTTTTTAAATAATAAGCTGAATGTTATCTAAAGATAGGTATGAATTATTAAAAGATGATTAAAGGAAGAAGGTAGCAGTTGGAGTTAAAAAGGTAATTGAAACCTATAATAATGGCCTGATTTTTCATCATGTTTAGCCTGAAATTATTACTGATCCTATCTAGATCGGCCTGAATATTGGCGAACGCAACTAATGGCTCAGAAGGGTGAAAGGGTAAATAGATTTAAAAGTTGTCAGTGTGTAGATGGTTTGAACAGTAGGGGATAGAATTGGGTGGAATCCTTAAACCTTATCCACATATTCTGTACAGTGTTGGTTTATCATTATATTCTTGAAGCATCGATGTATTTTATTCTTTTAAGTCATGTATCTGTTTAAGAGTTTTTTCAGTTTGAGAGCTGTATTTACTCATTAATCCTGTTTTGAAAATACTGAAAAAAAACTGTAGCTCACTCTCCAAGAGCTGCTCTTGAGTTTTGTTGTAGGGTTCACTCTCAAGTAAATGTGTAGATTTATATAGCTATATGTGTATTATAGGTAAAATCAATAGCTTTTATTTTATGTTTTCATTTTTGTACACTTTATTATTCATTATGTAATATTGTATTTATTTTGATTGTTTTTCAGTCTGACGATAATGATGTGCAGATCATTTCTTCTACTAGTGATCATGCTGATGCTAAAAGGGACAAAGGGCCTCAACCTAATGTTGATAAAAGGACTGCTTTTTCAATTGATAGATTTTCACAACAATCTCAAGTTGCCAAGAAATCTTTTAGCATATCTGCAACATCAAAAAGTATACCGACAACTTCAAATAGCCAAAGTATGATTGAAGTTGTTTTCTGAAAAAATGATTGAAATTTTTTTTTTCATTCTATTAAATAAACTAACTAGTTCTTTATTTCTATGAAGACCTATGCACTTAATAAGTTTCTTATGGGATTAAATAATGTAGTCTAATGATGAGGTTATTGATTCTTATACACTTTCTCAATATTACCTAGTGAAACCTAGATTACCTGACATTGAATGAGCTATTAAGATATAAAAATGAAGTTTATTTTCTATAGTTCCTGTTTTTTTTTTGTAAATATTAATGTTTCGTCTGAGTTTAGTCAGATCAATGTTTGCATTCACATGTATCTGTTAATTATGAAATAAATAAAATTTTAAGTTATCAATTTTTTTTTGTTAAAACAAGATTATAATTTTTCAATTTTTTTTATTTATAAGGAAGTGGGGTAACTCAGCGGGTAAATACTGACTTCCAAAGCTCAAGGTCCTGGGTTCGAGTCCGGCTGAAGACAAGTAATTTTTCATTAGCCATGGATTGACTCTGTTGTCGGAAGGCCCCCTGGGGCACATTTAGCCTCTATAAAGTGGGTACTCTTAATTAAGGGAGAAAACCTTGTGATTGAGTGTGATTCCTGTCTGATAACCTCCCTGTACAACCATTGGCCTTGAAATAGTACTTCCTTACAAAGCACTTAACCGAAGACCCTTCATGAGTTGTGGTACAGGTTTAGAAATAATGTTCTAAGTATAATTTAAACTATTTTTTTATTTTTTTTTATTTATGATATTTACAAGTGCATTGAAAATAAAAATACATCTAGTAAATGTGAAGAAATGATTATGAGAACATGAAAATATTTGTTGAGAAACTACCTTAGAAAATCTTGGGACCTTGGGACCTTCTTATTTTCGGATGCCTCGGGAGGTTATCAGAAATCAAAAAGGAAGCAAGGTTAGAAACGACAGGGTTAGATGGTTCTTAAGTTTATATGGAAGGATAGTTATCTGGATTGGGCCAAATTTGAAACATAAGAAACTTTAAGGTCGTTATGGGTGATTTTGTTTGTAACTAAGTAAAGAGCATTGAGAATTTTATAAAGGATTTTGGATTGTAAGGATTGGATATGAGAGGAATTTTATGGGTTAGTGGAACCCCATAGCTAAATTCAGTAAGTCCAAATAGGCTGTATTATAGTCATGTATATGAGACTTTTGTAATTAGTTGGAAGTTTAGAGTGCTTGTCTTGTAAGAGCTGAAATAATCGGATGTCAAGCAGTTTCTCATTGTTTAGAATAGAATAGAAAAATCATCTTTATTCTGAGACTAAGTCCCTTTAGAATAATAGTATTGTTCATATAATTTAACCATAAATCTGGCCAAAAGACCTATTACAATGAATAATAACAAAATACTAGTAATAAATTAAGTATAATAGCTCTTAGGACAAATTAATGAGAACAGTTGGGTAATAGGGGTTCAATACTACAATATTGGAGCTAAAATAATAGCATAATAATCAATAAATGAAATTAGAAAGGAACGCAAAATCAATTTTATAGGCAAAGTATTGTAGTGATGGAATCTAAAAATTAAAAAAATAAAATAAAATAATAACTGTTAATATATAAACAAATAAATTGTAATAAAAAAAAAATGATGTACATATGTTCCCTAAGATATTTAAGTGATTACATGTAAAGATTAGGAGAGGAAAAAAAAAACTGTATATATATATATATATATATATATATATATATATATATATATATATATATACATATAGCGAGGAGTGTGTCGAAGATAATAAGAAAATAAAATACATTTCAAAGAAATACAATCTCATGAATAGCAAAATTAGAAATTGAGAAAAACAAATTTTATCTACTCACAATGCTTTGTGAGTGGTGATGAAAATTCACGTTCAACACAGAATAAAACAATAAAAAATAAGAGAAAAAAATAATGTCTAAAGAAAATTAAAGCCTTATTACATAGTATGTATTTAACCAGCGTCTGATTGGATTGTGAAGAGGAATTGGAATAAGAGGGTTTTAAAGGTGGATAAAGATGATGTATGGCGGATTTTTAGTGGGATGGAATTCCAGAATGCAGTGGAATGGACAACGGAGGAATGTTTAAATGATGCAGATCTGTGGAAAGGGGTGTAAAGGTCAGAAGGACGAGATCTTGTGGAGAGGGTGTGGATAGATGATTTGAATTGTAGGAGATTGTATGCATAGAACAGACGATAATTATTTGGTAAAGGAATGTGCCTAGGAAATATTGTCTTCGGAAGGAAGGCAAGAGCCATCCTAATTCAGCATAGTGGTGCGAAACGAGGGAATGCCTCAGGGTCCCTGTGACAAATCTAACGAAGGCATTCATAATTCTTTTCAATCTCCCCGAGTTCTACCGAGAGGCCACCGTACACCACGCAGCCGTAATCAAGATGAGGGAAGATACTAGGAGTCTACGTGTAGGAGATGGTGGAAGCGATGGAATAGTTTCAAGGTATCAATTGACCGTCGGGAAATGTGAGCAATATGGTGTTTCCAGGAGAGGGTTTGATCAATGAAAATGCCTAGGTTTTTTACTGAGGAGGTGAAGGTGATGGGATGGTCATTTAGGTACAGGATAGGAATGTTGGTATTGGCTCTGAGAAGGGGTTTGGAACCAATGACAATGGCTTGAGGTTTTGTAGCGTTTAATCTTAATCCATTAAAGTTTTCCCAGGCACTGATCTGATTCAAGTCTTCTTGAATTTTGGCATACGCTTTATGCAACTCTGAGGGATGGAAGGAAAGGTAAATTTTGGAATCATCGGCTTAGAGGTGATGGGAGCAGTGAAGGATTGATTTATGGATGTCGTTGATGTAAGAACTAAAAGAGAGAGGAGATATGCCAGAGCCCTGGGCCACTCCTGAAGACAGAGTAAGATAGGAAGACAAAGGTTGATTAGGTATAGCGACGGTTGAGAGAGGAAAGATTGAAACCACAGGATAGAACTATTGGAAAAGGATAATGATTTTAATTTGGAAAAGAGAATGAAATGGTTAATGGTATCAAAGGCTTTGGAAAAGTCGAGGAGTACAAAGACAGTTAGTTTGTCATCTATAGCGGACTGAACATCATTAATGATTTTAATTAGGGCGGATTGTGTGGAGTAACCTGGCCGGAAACCAGATTGGTAAAGGTCAAGTTGATTGAACTGTTCTAGGAAGTTGGAAACTTGGGATTGCACAATTCTCTCTAGGGGTTTCGAAAGGATTGAGATTGGCCGGAAATTTTCAGGGGAAGACGGGTTAGAATTTTTATTTAAAGGACAGACTGTGGCTTTTTACCACAAGGAAGGGAATACTGAATTTTGAAGGGAGAAATTATAGATAAAAAGGAGTACCAGAAGGATTTCAGAGAGAAATTATTGATGAAAAGGAGTACAGGAAGGATTTCAGTGAGGCATAATTTGACGGGAATGCCATCTGGACCAATACAATTAGAGTGTGATTTCATCATGGCGGATATGAGGTCTGCGGAAGAAATATCTGAAAAAGAAAAACGTCATTGAAAGATGTTCCAGGAGAAAAGAAGGAAGAGGGAAATGGAGGAGTTGAAGAGGAAGCAGATATAAAATAAGAATTTAAATCATTTGGTGAAACTCGGAGCACTGCAGAGGGAGGGGATCTGGAAGGATCACAAAGAGAGAGTTTACGAAGGAGTAGCCATTTGGATTTGGAATCGGGAGCTGATGAAAGGGCTTCATGGAAATAGGTAGATTTGGCTCATCGGATTGTGGTTTTTGCCAGGTTGGGGAGTGCCCTGAACGCTTGATAGTCGTCAGCCAGTCATCACGCCTCTTCTGAAGATCCTTAATTTTCTGACACATCCAAGGAACAGGAAGGTGACGTAGAAATTGTTTCAATCAGATATGAGGATTCCAACTTAGACGTTTGTCCAGTTGGACTCCTAGGTATTGGATATTGTAAGACAGGAAGTCTCATAGGTTTACGACAAAGGCTAAAAGTAATTTTATGGGACTTATTGGAATTTATTTTAATTCTCCAGTTTTGACACCATTCTTCAAGGTTTGTGATATGTGATTGAAGAGTTTGGAATGCAATTGATGGATCGTTAGTAACTGATAGGATACATGTGTCATCGGCATAGGTGGTGATGACAGTGTTAGGATGGGTTGGGATGTCAGCTGTATAAACTACATAAAGTATAGGACCTAGATACTAATACCAGTGGATTGGGAAAAGAGAAATGAATAGGCATTGTTGTGATTTACTTTGAAGTATCTATCAGCAAGATAGAAATGGATAATGAGGAAGTATGTAGGTGGTAGAAATTTATGGAGTTTGTACATCAGTTCCGGTTGCTAACCAAAACTCTACAAGATCTATGAAGCCAAAAGAAAAAATAAACAAAATAACTGATGTCGAAAAAGGAAGGAATAATGACACAAAAGGATGAAGAAATTTAAGTAGATTATTATTGAAGATAATAAAGGGAAAATGCAAGGAAGGTGACATTGGGAGAGACAGATAATGGGATAGATTAACAAATAAATGAGCATGAGTAAATAAAAAAAATGAAGTAGAAAGAGATGGTAATGGAAAAGGAGACAAATGAAAGGAATATTGAGAGAAGAAATGAGGATAAATAGAGAAAAATAAATGAGGCAGCTATATTTTAAGAAACAATGTTGGTATAATGAAAATTAAAGTGGTACAGATTAATTTCTTTCTGCAGAACTCTTCAGCTAGGGGTGAGCATTGACTTCTCTAACAATATTGCACCAGCCCTCTCTGAACAGCGCTCTGATTCTCCAATTTCTTATGCCAAGTCGTTGTGTCCTGGTTCATCTTTTCCTTGTGATGCCTAATATTTTGTGAGTAGAATTCTTTTTGGAGTTCTGCTGTCTTCCCAACCATTCTATTCTTCTTACTTTTATAAACTGTGCCGTATCACAGGAACCTTATAACTCATATAATTCGTTATTTTTCCGGCTTCTCCTTTCACCCTCA